CCTGAACATGCTATGGTCTTGACTTTTTAGTGAATGATAGCTTTTTCTGCCAGTAATAAGTGGTGTGGGGTTGGTCTCCTAGCAGTTTGTTCTGGAACTGCATGAAGGTTTCTGGCGAAACCTTTCAGAGCAGATAAATTCACAAAGAAACAATGTATTTTTATGATTTTTGGTATGTGGGTAGCTTAGACGGAGATCTACATTATTAATGCAATTATGCAAATGAGGACTTAATTTTCATAATTAAGGAGGAAATTCTATAATCACAGTGTTTTATATAAAAGTACTTATACATGTAGTCTATTTAATCTGTGGCAGGCGGAACATCAACAGATATTAATTATGCAAATGATGACGTAATTTGCATAATTAATGTGAAAATTCTGTGACTCCTTATTGGTGAATAGTGAGAATTTTATTCTTTGTGACATGTGAAAGTTACTTAAAAGTTAACACCACTATGCATATATTATGTTAATGTTGAGGTCATTTGCATAATTAACGAGGACATGTTGAAATGAAGTATGACAAAGGAGAGAAAAATATTTTCATTTGAATTTAGAAAACCATTAATTAAACTAGATTATGCTAATTACGACCTTATTTCTATAGTCAATGAGATAAATAAAAAAACATTTACAAAAACTCATGGAGGTATGAAATCTCCGAATTCTTCTTGGTAATGTCTCTTTTATGTATTACACGCCTACTGAATTCATTTCCCTTGCTAACGCAACACCCTAAAATACAAATGTTTTACATGTATTTTCGATAGTTCTGCTGTTATCTGCAATATTTCAGATGATTAGTCAGTAATCATCCTGATGAAGGCGACAGTTGAAAAGTTGATCTCTGTGTGCTCATTGTGTTGGAATAAAGTTCCAACATTTCATTATGATTACTACTAACATGATAATATTTCAGGTTGTACGCGTCGCCGAGTGTACATAGCGATAGTAACGGCTGCCGTTCTTGGGTTGTTCATCTTGACTGGAGTCTTTCCCTGGTTATACTTAACCGCACAGGTACGCTTCTGTCTTACAGTCTTGTCGATTCGTTCATCATTTCCTGAAATTGGTGCAAAATCGACCTGCAGCTATTCAATTCAGACAGGGTTCAGATAATTTATCATGATGTCGCTGAGCCAATTACGATACCCTGCAATGACAATACAATTCTCTTAACAGCAGGCAGCGACTGCGGATACTTCTACTACTGCTGCTAATGCCGCTACTAATACTACTGATACTGCAGCTGATACAACTACTGCTACTACTACTACTACTGCTAATACTACATTTACTACTACTGCTGCTAGTACTGCTACTGCTCCTTCTGCTACTGCTGCTGCTGCTACTACCACTGTTACTACAGTCGCCAACACCCCACATCACAAAGGTGAGTTCAAGAGACAATGTGTTAAACTTGGTCCCTCTATGTCTTTAGACAATTTCTTAAACTTGTTACCTCTTTGTCAATACCTCCATGAAAAATGGAGGTATTGTTTTTGGTGCCTCTCTCTGTTTGTCAGTCTGTCTGTCTGTTTGTCTGTGTATGTGTATGTGTGTGTGTGAGTGTGTGTTTCCACAACCTTGTAGTCAGCATTACTTCAGAACGCCTTTATGGATTGTGATGATATTTGGTGTGTTGGTAAGCCTTAGGAAGACAAAGGTTAAGGTCAAATATGGGCCTCATGGTGGCCGACCTTGGCACTGCAGCAAAACTTCCGGTTTTTGTATCTTTTGTTATGGACATCCTATTGTCTTGACTTTTGGTGACTGGTGCCTTTTTCTGCCAGTAATAAGTGGTGTGGGTTTGGTCCCCCTAGCAGTTTGTTCTGGAACTGCAGGAAGCTTTCTGGCGAAACCTTTCAGAGCAGATAAATTCACAAAGAAACAATGTATTTTTATGATTTTTTGGTATGTGGGTAGCTTAGACAGAGATCTACATTAATGGATGCAAATTATGCAAAAGATGACTTCATTTGCATAATTAATGAGGAAATTCTGTAATTCCAGTGTTTTACATCATAGGACTTTGGTAAATGTAATGTTTATAATCTATGCCTATGGCAGCTGGAATATCACCAGGTACCAATTTTGCAAATACGGACCTAATTTGAATAATTATCTGAAATTTCTATGACTCCTTAGTGGTAAATGATGGGAATTTCATACTTGGTACATGTGTAAGTTAATCAAAAGTTAACATCACGATACATTCATTATGTTAATGTGGGTGTCATTTGCATAATTAAAGAAGAAATTTACATTTACATATCAAGCATATATTTCATGGAGGTATGAGATCCCGGAACTCTTGTTTGACAATGCTTTAAACTTGGTCCCTCAGTGTCATTAGACAATGTTTTAAAGACTTTGCTTCTCTGTGACATTAGACAATGCCTAAGATTTTGTCCCATATCAGCCTTCCCTTAGTTAAACAGAGACTCTGTGTGTGTGTGTGTGTGTGTGTGCGTGTGTATGTGTGTGTGTGTGTATGTGTGTGTGTGTGTGTGTGTGTGTATGTGTGTGTGTGCGTGGCGTGGCGTGTGTAAATGTAAATGTGTAAAATTTTAATTTGGATTATGCTGTTTTTGTCACTCATGACAAAAGGTTGTGACGTAAAGCCGGAGAATATCACGTTTGGTGGAAGGGGACAAGAACCTGGAAAATTCAAGAGGTACGGGTTCAATGGCGGATTCGGAGTTGCCGTGTCTGCTGACAATGAGGTATTTGTGACTGATCGTGACAACAAACGAGTCCAGGTCTTCAGCATGAATGGGACCTACCTCCGCCTCTTTCCAACCGTTGTGCCGGGTGAAAGTATGGCAATGTTCCCTTATAGTGTTGCCTTGGACGTAGAGCCTGGCTACCTGTGGGTACTGGGGAAAGGGCATTACGAACCATGGAAGCACCATATAGAATATAAAGGACATGTCGTACAGTACAGTAAGAACGGACAGCCCATTAAAAAGTTTGACGTAAGCCTCAGTCCCTACTATCACGTCATTGCGATGGACGTGCGCAACAATAAAGTTATCATGGGAAACAGTGGTACAATTACGATGTTTGATCCAAACGGTTCTCGTTTCTTGAGTTCAGAAGTGCGTACGGATTACGGGATCGGAGGAGTCATTTCGGATAAGGAGGGAAATATCCTGCTGACGGATGGGTATAAAACCGTCCAGAAGTACAATCAATCTGGAATAAAGGTACTTGAATTTGGCACCTATGGAAAGGCTAAGGGCCAACTGGATTATCCCAAAGGTATTTGTCTTGACTCCTCTGGTCACATCATCGTGGCAAATACTTACAACCACCGGGTAGACATGTTCACACGACAGGGCGAGTTTGTCCGCACTATCGTGGACATTAAAAGCCCGTGGGGTATCGCTATGGGACCATGTGGAGAGTTGGTGGTGACTAGCTCAGAAACCGAAATTGTAACTATCATTCCTCGCCACATGGTGGGTCCTTAACCACCATATGACAAATGCATGTTTACATAAATATTTCCTCTCATGGTTTATACAAAAAAAATTATTCCTCTGATCTTTATTCCTTACATTTTGGTGTATGCCTTACTACTTGACAGTTACTTAGCTGTTTTAATGCTTATATATTGCAGGACAAGTAAACATGATATAAGAGTTAATAGTGTATAAATCAATTTGTATAATGAAATAATCTGTATTATCAGTAATGTCATAATTATATTGGCCGAAATTTATACTTACAAACATCGAGAGTTTAAAAGACTTAGTTTGGAATCTTTCATTAGATATATATATATAATTTTCTTTGAAAAAGCAGAATGACTCATTTCAACAAGGAAAGGGAAGATTGAAAAACACAGAGGGAAATGGGAATCTCTATGTACATAATCAATATATTATCATTTTACTCATGATTGTTATTTTCACTGGCTTTACTTTACTATTGTTATGACAATGGTTTTGTTCAATGATTTGTTACGATTTAACTATTGTTATGACAATTGTCATGATGAATGATTTGTTATTATTTGATTTATTGCTATGATTCATTTTATGATGAATGATTTGTTATGATTTGAACTATTGTAATGACAATGGCTTTTGATGAATGATTTTTCATGATTTAAACTATTGTTATGATCAATGATTTGTTATTATTTGAATTATTCCCATGAAAGTTTTTTGATCGATGATGTGCTATGATTTGAATCATTGTTATAATTATTGTTATTATCAAGGATTTGATATGATTTGAATTATTGCTTTGATTATTGTTATGGTCAATGATTTGTTGTGATTTGAACTATTATTATGACAATGGTTTTGATCAATGATTTATTATGATTAGAATCATTGTTCTGATTATTGTTATGCTCAAGGATTTGTTATGCTCTAAATTATTGTTATGATTATTGTCATTATCAAGGATTTGTTGTTATATAACTAAACAGTTTCTTAGCTGTTATAATGCTGATATATTGGAGTACATGTAAAAAGGATATAAGAGTTAATGGTGTATAAATCAATCTGTCAGACGTGTAGAATGAAATCCTCTGGCCTCCCAAGCACTAATAGTGTACTAAGTTTGATCTAAAATCCTTCTTCTGTTGAAACTTTATCTTACTGGTGTACCTATATTCTTTCATTAATCTATTAGGAAGAATTTTACGTGTCTTAATGTAATCAGATATTAAAAATACCTAATATGAATAAAAACTTACAAGCTTTGAGAGTTTAAAAGACTTAGTTTGGAATCTTTCATTAAATATACAGTTTTCCTTGAAAAAAGCACAACGACAAGGGAAGACTGAAAAACACAGGAAAATAGGTGTAAAGAACCTTTCTCAAGGGAACAACATTAGGGGTCTACCAGGAACTCTAACCCAGTACCTTTAGACTCTAAATTACCAGGCCTAACCAAAAGCCTGAGACCATCTTCGTTGATGAGAAGGTTACGGGTGTAGAAAGAATCATACATGTATAGTCTAACAGCTCCCAAGCCTCAATTACTACTAGGTTCATCATACCTGGCCATTGTGTACATTAAGCACGGCCCTGCTGGGGAACTCTTGACCCAGCGGCACTCTTGGCTGGGGCAATGTTGTTTCAACAAATATTCAAAGAAGATATTTTCCCAGGAAAGCCACTGTTGACAGATTCCTGTCTGTAACTTTTTATTTTAACCTAGATATAAAGCCAAAGCAAGACTTCGCCTGCCCTTACAAATGTCCAATCACCAAAAGCCCACTACAGCAACGTACGGACCTCCAACGACGCCCATTTCCGAACTAGATCTTGCTATCGTCAATGGTAACTTGCTCACAAAAAATCCATTTGCAGATTCTCGAATTATCCTGCTAACAACAATAACAACCAACTCAAAATGTCAAATTCAATGACATGGGAACCCCCCACGAGGCCCATTTCCGAATTTGATCTTCATATTCTCAAGGGTAACTTGCCAACTAAAAATCATAGACAACCATTTAGGGATTCCCAAGTTATCTGGAGTACAACAAAATGCGGAAACACAAAAGGTCAGCAGATCAGCTCCAGTCACGTAAGAACCCCCCCCCCCCGAAGCCCGTTTTTGGCCTCCTTGACAATGCCCATCACTAAGACAACCTGCCTGCCAAAAATCGTGAACTTCGGACAATGCTTTAAAAAATTATCGTGCATAATCTGCCAAACAGTACCAAAACGATTTCATAGCCTTCTCGTCGAAGGCAACAATGTGGCCATTTTATGGAGTACAACGTTCTATACCTCGATATTTCTAGTAGGCAAAACACGTCAATGGCCACTTTCACATGATGCAACAAGCGATATAGGTTTTAAACGCCTTCTCCAAGGGTGCACCGTTGGGTCTTCTTGGAATTCTAAGCTAGTGCCATTATTCTAAGTCAACAACCCTAATCAGACGACCACCTTGCCTGCTTCGTTGATGAGAGGTACGTGGGTGAAAGAAGAGAACATCATACATGAATAGTCTACCAGCTTCCAAACCTCAGTGATTACTAGGTTCATCATACACGTATTGTCTACTTGCTTTCAAACCTCCACCCACGTCCACAGACAAAGAAGTTGGATCAGTCCACTTTAACTCCTCCCAGCGTAAGGGCAGCTTAACACCATGAGAAAGTTTAATTTCGTAGATATACTTTTAATATCCTTTCTACAGACATCTTACATTTAGACACTGTAACCGTTTTCGTCTAATAAATATGTTTACGAAGATTACAATGTGGCCATTTTTGTGGACTTCAGTGTTCAACACCCTAATGAAATACATGTACAGATGCATTCCACTTTGTAGCATTCCAAATCATGTTTTAGTGTTGAACAAGATTTTGAATGCAACGACTCTTTTGCGGGGAGGGGGACATAACGTCAAGGGAATATGTTTATTCAATATTCATATCAACTTCCAGCATTGAGTCTATCCAATACTAGACAAGACTCCTTTGTGGGGGCGTAGTGTCTATGGGATATGTTTATTAATTAGTTACATCATCTCTCGGCATTGAATCTCTATTTTGCTGTTGAGGTCGGTCCGCCCTGCAGACAGTTAAGCTGCTCGCAGAAGCCTCTCCGTAAGTACGGAATTTCTGAACCCATATTCTTTATATTTCAATATCACCCCACAAATCAGTTCGGATAATATGTTTTTATTGACTATTATCAGTAGAAATTGATCAGTGTACATTTTCACTTTCATTGTGCAGAAAAATGACGAGTTTTATCTTGTGTGGTTTCAAAAATACATGAACAAACCTGCAATGTGATTTAAACACGACTGTTGCCATAAAACTACAACATTTGTGTTAAGGCGTACTAAAAATCACCTATACTTACATGACATCGCGCTCGTCAACAATTGACGTAACCAGTGAATCTTGTGTAATCACAAGCTAAATAACCTCGAGATTGCCAAGAAACATGCAAAATGTGTAATGAACCATTAGAACATCTTCAAGTAAAAAGAACATGTCAGCTACACTGTGCATCGTACCCCAAACAGGTCAACACGTACTTGTTGACATGAATTGTCTGGTATATCAGCTCAGAAGATCATTAAGACGACTCGTGCGCTGCTACATCTGCATAGAAATGGATTGATTCTGTCTGCCTGAGACATTGACAAACTTCAGAATTTTTTGCAGTAGGCCACACTGTGCACATAGCCATACGTGATTCAGCATAAAAGTGTTTACATGTGTTGCGCTCTGAAAACCTATCATTGTATAAAGCAAAGACATCGCATGAAAATGTTTGTAGTCACATGACAATGTAGAACTTGATAGCATTTTTATTTTGTACGTAAATGTGCATATTTATGGTATGTGGTGCTGCTGTAATTAGTTGTACAACATCACTACAGCGTCACTTTGTTTTCCCTCATGCAGATTAAAGTTTTAGAAAACGAAAAGGTCCAAAAGCCATGGCTGAAGACTTGCCCTCCAACGTAGATACTTCAGCTTTAAGGGGAATGACAATAGCATAGTGCACACACAGGCCAGGGATCCGAATTCGATGTACACACATAACACCATAAGCCCTGATAGGATTTACGTTAACCCTAATCCGATGTACCTACAAAGCACCATGGAGCCAAACGCCAGCCCTGGACCTAAGTCAAATAAGAGTGATGACAGCCAGACATCAGCTGATGCACATGACGAAGCCTCCTTTAGGCCAGCTGACAACATTAACAACGATTGCCTTCAGCCGTATGCTGTAACACGCTGCCAGCAAGACGATGAGGTCTCAATCAAAATGCCAGAAAACATTGAGGGCAATCCCCACACCCATCCACACGCTGTTACCTACCAGAAACATGATGGAATTGCCATCGAATCAGCTGACTGTGATGTCGTCCAGCCCTATGCCGTTAAATACGAAGATGAAACTGTTGGTGACTCAGCAAACAATGATGGCAATCCCGGCATCCAACGAAGTGCAGTTAACCACCAGAAAAACGAGGAGCCCTTCCTTGGGCCACTCAACTGTGATGGCGGTCAGCCTTACGCTGTTAAATACCATGAAGATGACGATAGTGGCAGTGCTATGTCTAAAACCAGACATACAGTCAGCATCGGACCTGAAGACGAGGTCATTCAACCATATGCTGTCGCATACATGTGCCAGAGTGTCAATGACGTCTCGACCAGCCCGTCGAGCAATGATGTCCTGCATGCACTAGATCCAAATCCGATGTACGCTGCCGCAGACATGGTCCGGGGTGACGTGGGGTGGAACACAGCTTCAGGAGACTCTCAAATATGCCTGTCCTCCCAGAATCAGAATCAACCAACGGCGGCATCAAACAATATCAATGACGTCTCGACCAGCCCGTCGAGCAATGATGTCCTGCATGCGCTCGATCCAAATCCGATGTACGCTGCCGCAGACATGTGCCAGGGTGACGTGGGGTGGAACACAGCTTCAGGAGAAACTCAAGCAAGCCTGTCCTCCCAGAATCAACCAGCGGCTGCTGCAAATAGCATTAATAACGCCAATGATTTCTTGCATGCACTTCATCCAAATCCGATGTACGTGCCAAACGCCCGGGTTCCTACAGCGCACGGTAAGAACTTTACCAAATTCATAAAACTATTACTGGACAGAAATCTTGTCATTGGTAATGTCTTTTTTGTGTATTACACGCCTACTGAATTCAAATCCCTTGCTGACGCAACACTCGTATTGACGTATTTTTAATAGATCTGCTGTTATCTGCAATATTTCAGATTCAGTCAGTAATCATCCTGATGAAGGCGACGGTTCAAAATGTGATCTCTGTGTACTCATTCTGTTGAAATAAAGTTTCAACATTTCTCCATGATTACTACCAACATGATAATATTTCAGGCTGTACGCGTCGCCGAGTGTACATAGCGATAGTAGCGGCTGCTGTTCTTGGGTTGTTCATCGTGGCAGGAGTCTGTTCCTGGTTATACTTAAGCGCAGGGACACCACAGGTACGCTTCTGTCTTAGAGCCTTGTCAATTCGTTCATCATTTCCTGAAATTGGTGCAAAATACGTTGACATCGGTCCGCAGCTTTCAAATTTAGACAAGGATCAGGTAATTTTTATCATGATGTCGATGAGCCAAATACGATACCCTGCAATGACAATACAATTCTCTTAACAGCAGGCAACGACTGTGGATACTATTACTCTCGGTTGGGTTAAGGCAGCCTATGGCCAACTATGATTAGTATTTCATACATATGGCTGTAACTTTTGATAGCTTGGTCGCATCACAACTTAACTTCACACAGTTCTAGTAGTACTTGAAACACATTGAATAAAGGTTATTTTGTTTTTACTACTTCTGAATTTTTGGGTTAAAAATCAACATTTTGGTTAAAAAAAAGCTGTTTACTTCATGGCTTTACGCCCAAGCGGTAACAACACCTTTCATCATGATATTTTGCAAGTAGAAAGCCAACCCCCTATTTATTATTTTTGTCCGAGGCTATTTTGTTTTAAATGACAGTTACATTGTTTTTTTGGGCCAAAAACGACAGAAACGGCTATTTTTCTGTCATTTTTTGTTAAATAATCGCCACAGTTAAAAAATTTCGACTTATATGCAAAATAGCCTCGGACAATTTTGATAAAAAAGTGATAATACGTAAACATGGATTACTCTAAAGATGAATTATGTTGTTTTCAGCTGGGCGTAAAGCCGTTTAAGTCATACTCCGTGAATAAAATGCGTAACAACGCGGGTTTACAGGGGAAACATACAAATGACCGCCGGTAACCCCGAATTCGAACACACGTTCTATTCGAATGACGTCATATCGAACATGGTGGAACATGATTCGGGTTCGAAACATGTTTGTGGCAATCGTGCAGACACACGGCGGAACTCGAACATGAATATCAGCCTAGGCCGCCTTAACCCAACCGAGCTACTACTATTACTACTGCTGCTGCTGATGCCGCTACTAATATTACTGATACTGCTGCAGACACTACTACTACTACTACTAATACTACTACTACTACTACTACTACTACTACTGCTGCTGCTATTACTACTTTTACTACTGCTGCTGCCACTACTACTGCTGCTGCCACTACTACTGCTGCTGCCACTACTGCTACTGCTGCTAATACTACTACTACTACTACTACTACTACTGCTACTGCTACTGCTACTACAGGATGCTGTTGTTCTATCCCCGAGCTCCCGGCAGTCTCCAACACCCCACATAAGAAAGGTGAGTCTAAGAGACAATGTCTTAAACTTGGTCCATTTGCGTCATTTGACAATGTTTTAAACTTGGTCCCTCTGTGTCATTAGACAATGTTATAAAGACTTTGCTCCTCTGTGACATTAGGCAATGCCTTAGAATTGGTCCCTCTGTGTCATGAGGCAATGGTAGGATATTGGATTGGACAATTGCAATAAACAAGATTATTTCCTCTTGTGGTTAAAATAAGCTATATGCATCAGGGCCTATATCAACCTTCCCTTAAACATAGACGGCGTGTGTGTGTGTGTGTGTGTGTGTGTGCGTGCGTGTGTGTGTGTGTGTGTGTGTATGTGTCTGTGCGTTTCGTGTGTAATTGTAAATGTTTTAAATTTTATTTTGGAAAATACTTTTTTTTTACACTCATGGCAAAAGGTTGTGACGTAAAGCCGGAGAAGATCACGTTTGGTGGGCAGGGAAAAGAACCGGGAAAATTCCTGAGAAAAAAAGACTACGGATTCGGAGTTGCCGTGTCTGCTGACAATGAGATATTTGTGACTGATCGTGACAACAAACGAGTCCAGGTCTTCAGCATGAATGGGACCTACCTCCGCCTCTTTCCAACCGTCGTGCCGGGTGAAAGTATGACGATGTTCCCTTATAGTGTTACTTTGGACGTGGGGCCTGGCTACCTGTGGGTACTGGGGAAAGGGGAATACGAACAACGGGGGTCCGATATGTGCTATAAAGGACATGTCGTACAGTACAGTAAGAACGGACAGCCCATTAAAAAGTTTGACGTAAGCCTCATTATTAGCTTTTATCCTGTCATTGCGATGGACGTGCGCAACAATAAAGTTATCGTGGGAGACGGATATACAATTACGATGTTTGATCCAAACGGGTCTCGCTTTTGGAGTTCAAATGTGCGTACGGCATTCGGAATCGGGGGAGTCATTTGGGATAAGGAGGGAAATATCCTGCTGACGGATGGGTGTGAAAACGTCCAGAAGTACAATCAATCCGGAGTAAAGATATTTGAATTTGGCACCGATGGAAAGGCTAATGGCCAACTGGATTCTCCCAAAGGTATTTGTCTGGACTCATCTTGCCACATCATCGTGGCGAATACTAAAAACAACCGGGTAGACATGTTTACACGACAGGGCGAGTTTGTCCGCACTATCGTGGACATTATACGCCCGTGGGGTGTCGCTATGGGACCATGTGGAGAGTTGGTGGTGACTAGCTCACATACCTACACTGTAACTATCATTCCTCGCCACATGGTGGGTCCTTAACCACCATACGACAAATGCATGTTTAAATATTTCCTCCCATGCTTTATGCCAAAAATTGTACTCCTCTGATCTTTATTCCTTACATTTTTGTGTATGCCTTACTACTAGACAATTACTTAGCTGTTATAATGCTGATATATTAGAGTACATGTAAAAATGATATAAGTGTTAATAGTGTATAAATCAATCTATATAATGAAATCACCTGTATTATCAGTAATATCAAACATCGAGAATTTAAAAAAACTTAGTTTGGAATCTTTCATTAAATATATAAGTTTCTTTGAAAAAGCTGAACGACTCATTTCAACAAGGAAAGGGACGATTGAAAAACTCAAAGGGAAATGGGGATTTTTATGTACATAATCAATCTATTATCATTTTACTCATGACTGTTAGTTTCTATTGGCTCCACTTTACTATTGTTTTGACAATGGTTTTGATCAATGATTTGTTATCATTTGAACTATTGATACGACAATGGTTTTTGATCAATGATTTGTTATGATTTGACTATTGTTATGACAATTGTTATGATCAATGATTTGTTATTTGAATTATTGCTATGATTATTGTTATGATCAATGAATTGTTATGATTTGAACTATTGTTATGACAATAGTTTTGGTTAATGATTCGTTATGATTTGGACTATTGTTATGACAGTTGTTATGATCAATGATTTATGATTTGAATTATTGTTATGATTATTGTTATGATTTTAATTATTGCGTAATGGATTGTTCAGTGTATTATGTATTGCTTGGATATATGAATAAAATAATACTTTGTGTTATGCAAACAAAAATTTATTCCTCTGATATAGCTTTATTTCTCATATTTTGGTGTATGCCTTACTACTAAACAGTTCACTTAGCTGTTTTAATACTGATATATTAGAGTACATGTAAAAAGGATATAAGAGTTATCAATCTGTATGATGAAATCATCTGGCCTTCCCAAGCACTTATACACTAATAGTCTACTAAGTTTGATTTAAAATCCTTATTCTGTTGGAACTTTCTCTTACTGTTGCACCTGTATTCTTTCATTAAAATATTAGGAACACTTGACGTGTCTTAATGGGACCAGATATGAATAATACCTGATATGAATAAAAACTTACCATTACCGTAATTCACTTGTTCCCATTATTACATTGACAACAGATGAATAAAGAATATTGAGATAACTGTAAAAGAAAAAGGAATATAAGTGCTGTTTCCGTTGAGGTCCGTTTGGACCCTTTAAACGACATGCAAGCATTAGATTTAGCATACCTTCTACAACAATAAGCCAATCCCATTAAAATCAGCTTTGCTAGAGAGTCCCTAACCGAAGCTACATGTAGGTACTCACATTCAGCTGAGCTGACAATCGAAATAGGTGTAAAGAACCTTTCTGAAGGGCACAACATTGGGGAGTCTACCAGGAACTCTAACCCAGTACCTTTGGAATTCTAAGCTAGTGCCTTTACTAATACTTTTATTCTAAGTCAACAAACAACCCTAATCAAAAGACCACATTGTCTGCTTCGTTGATGACAAGTACGTGGGTGAAAGAAAAGTATCATACATGAATAGTCTACCAGCTCGAAAAAAAAATTACTACTAGTTTCATCATACACGTACACGTATTGTCTACTTGCTTTCAAACCTCCACCCACGTCCACAGACGAAGAAGTTGGATCAGCCCACTTTAACTCCTCCCAGGGGGGGGGGAAATCAACGTCTAAAATTCTAAATTGATGAACACATTTCTGCAAAAATTTTCTTTACGAAACCACTTTCTTCACACATCTTGTATTTCACTGCTATAACTGATTTTTCGTTTTATCTTATATGAACAATACAATGTGGCCATTTTGGTGGACTGCAGTGTTCAACATCCTGTCGTTTCTATACAATACCAGACAAGAGACCTTTGCGGGGGTATTCATGACGTCTATAGGGTATGTTTCTTCAATGTTTATATCATCTCCCTGCACTGAGTTTCTTTTTCGCTATTCTGGTCGGTTCTCTCTGAAGACAAGTCGCGCCTTCGCTCGCAGAAGCCTTCCTGTGGGTACAGAATCTTCCTTCTCCATATCTCCATATCAGTCTACAGTAGCACTCCAAGGTGTAGGTAATGTTATTAATGTGTTGATAGGTTTGGTAATGTAATGTAAAGTTACAGTAATGTGTTTGTTACTATAGTTAATAATCTGTATTATCAGGCCTCCAATCTACGTTATATTGAAGAATCCTGTTTCGTTGGATATTTCTTAAATCTTTCTTTTATTGTTGTACCTAAAGTATATTAAGTCGACCAGCTCTCAGGTCGCAATCAGATTCATCACACAGCTATATTCTACCGGCTTCAAAACTTCCTACAGACGGAGAAGTTGGGCACGTTTACTTTAACTCTCTGGAGGAGGGGCAGGTTAGTGCCTTGGGAAATTTTAAATTCATAGACACAAACAAATTCTACATACTTCTTACAAATACCTCCAAAAGTATTTTATAACCATTTTTGTTACATCTTATGAAATTACAATGTGGCCATTTCAGAGAGCTCGATACTCAATACTTTGATTTTTTTCTATACAATACCAGACAAGACTTCTTTATGGGGGTATGACGTCTATAGTATATGTTTATTCAATATTTATATCATTTGCCGGCACTGATTCTCTATTGCGCATGCTGTTGAGATCGGTTCTCCCTGCAGACAAGCCGCTCACAGAAGCCTCTCCGTAAGTACAGAATGTCTGAATCCTTCTTCTCATTTTAATCTTACCACTAAAACCGTTTAATGATAGTATTTCCAGTTTGGATCATATTTTATTTCTTCTTGACGATTTGCAGTAGAAATTGTCTGGTGTGTATGGTAATTTTCTCTTTTATGGACGATACACAGCAACCACCCAAACTGTGCAGAAAAGTGATTAGTTTCATCTTATGGAGTACCCATGACAAAAACGCCTAAACCCTTAACGTCTACTTGAAGAGTACGTACAATCTTAGCGCGGACATATGAATTGTCTGGTATCAGAAGAGGACACGTACATTGCTTCATCTACATAGAAATGAATTGATTCTGTCTGACAATGACGTAAGTTAACGTCAAAGTTGTTTTTCAGTGAGCCATACAGTGTACATTATAAGCCATATAGGATTCAGGCAAACATTTTAGCATGTTTTACCAGTCAATTTTTCGTATAACGTAATGACGAGTTATCATCACAACTGACACCGCATTTCAATGTAGAACATCAAGGCGGGCCGTCATTTTCCTTTATTTGTTTTTTTTCCATTGCACCCCATTCATTTGGCAATCAACCACTGCAACGACCTGCTCGATCAGGTTCACCATACATGTAATAATTCTACCGGCTCCCAAACCTCCAACCACGTCTACAGACGGAGAAAGTTGGAAAAAGTCCACTTTGACTCTCTGCGGGAGGGGCAGGTTAGCGCCATGGGAAATTTTAAATTCATAGATTCTTGAAAAACGTCTATTTTAAAACACTTCTCTACACACATCTTAAAGAAAGTTTATTGCAAATACTTGCCCGAGGGCTAATTGCAGTTACAAACAACATAGAAAGAAAATACAGTGGTATGTGAGACTATATCTACTTCTAACATTATACTATATTCTACAACATGACATGACACTAGTTTTACTGGGTTTGACTTCTTCTTTTTAGGCAATGGAAGACGAATTTACCCAATTCTTCTATAATATGTGGGTTCTTTGATTTTAGTAGTAAAATTGTTTTTTTGTGGTAAGGAATGGTAGGGAAGTAAGGCAGCATTTTGGACACGGTGGTAAATAATTGATTTCTGGTGTCGTCATAGAATGGACAGTTAGAGATGAAATGAATTTCGTCTTCCACTGCATTTGAGGAGCAATATTTACAAATTCTCTACGACACAGGTAGTTTCATATATCGCCCTTTTTCGATTTCCAAGGATCCGGAGTGGGCACTGATTCTAATTTTAGTAATAGCGGAGCGCTGATCGAAGTCACCATGTTCTAGGTATTGTTCTAAACAGTATTCAGTTTTACATTTTCTATAGAATCTCAGTTTACCGGTATTAACAGACAAACTATGGAAGAAAGTTTGAATGTACATGTCTGAAAGCCTTGTCCTTAAAACTTTATACATATGTTGAGGATCACAGGTTGTACTATCAATATGCAGTAGGTAGGAATATCCACAGTGATCGAGGATCTCCTTCACTCGCTGTAACAATGTCCGTCTACGACTATATGACAGGGAATTACGTTGTAACAGGAGTGCATCAACTTGCAGAAGGTGTGTATCGGTATTAAGTTGTGTCAAGTGTGTCCAGAATTTAACAGTACGTAGTGATATATCTAAATCTAACGGGAGTCTTCCTAGTTCTGCTCTAGCAGCTACATTACTACAATTTCTATGCACTCCAAGTACATTCTTGCAGAAACGATTATGGGAACTTTCGATTGGCGAGGTCTCGTTTACAGGTTCTTTTCCCCAGATCTCACACCCATACAGAAGTATTGGTTTGATACAAGCGTCAAATATTCTGAGCAGGCACTTCGGAGAGACAGAAGAACGCTGTAAAGATTTGAGACTAAACATGGCTTTCCTTGCTTTGAGTGAGAGCTGTTTTTTTGCAAGAGAGAAGCTACCAGATGAGGTAATATTCAGGCCCAAGTAGCAGTAGGACTGGACTGTGTCCACTTTGTCCTGTCCAAACATAAAACTTTGGTGGGGGAAAGACCGGCCAGATTTGTTGAAAATAATGACTTTCGTTTTCTTTAAATTGACTTGAAGTTTCCATTTGGCACAGAAGTCTTTCAATCTATTTAGAGCGTTTTGCAGTCCTTTATCGGACTCGGAAAATAATACAACGTCGTCTGCGTATAACAGACACGATACAAATAAACTATGTAGAGAGGGCGGTGAGCATGTGCTGTGCTCTGATAACCATTCAATTTATCCTATTACATAATGACAAGTTATTGGCATA